GCGGAGGCCTTCGCCATTTACAAGGCTATTCTACATGCCAGGGCTCTGAATCTCCCAAGAACTCTTATAGTTACGGACTCTCTGGAGGTGATTACTCGTCTCAACAATTGCCTCCTCCGTAAAGACAACCCGGAAATTATCTATAAGATCTTGGACTTGATCCATCACCTCCCTTCTGACCTTCCATCTCCTTTCAGTTTTCTCTGGGTTCCGTCTCATGTGGGAATTGTTGGCAATGAAAAAGCGGATGCCATATGTAAAGCCTCTAACACATTTGCTAATAGAATCTATTTTGGAACATCTTTGAGCGATTTCAGAAGAAGTGTCTTTGTCCCTGATCACCGTGCGAGGTTGGCTCATTTGTGGCCCTTCTCGGATCGTGACCTAACCGGACATCGATACTTTGAAAGAATATCGCTCAAGACTAGTAGACCTTGGTTTGAGGGTCTTTCCCTTCCCAGGGCTTGGATCAATGTAGTCACCAGACTCAGATCTGGACATACTTTTACCGCGGATCACTTTGAACGCATCCATTGGAATACCAGGATGCAGTGTGCTTGCGGGGTTGATCGGAGAACTTATAACCATGTGTTGAACGAGTGTCCTTCCCTGGCACCGGTCAGGGATAGATTCTTTGATTTCCTCAGGAGAAAGTTTCCCAATGAGGATCCGGAAGCGGTTTCCCTCGATGATTTGATTTTTGCCCCTAATGAGGAAATTGTCAGAGAGATTGGTGGATTCTTTTGTCATGACCATCAATTCATCTGACTCTTGATTCTGGTCTTTTGGCATTTTTACTTGCCTGATAAGTATTTGGCTGCTTTGTTTTGTTTTATTTTGTTTTTGTCTCTCTTTTTGCTCTTTTGTTTTTTATCTTTTTGTTTATTTATTTGTTTATTTTTTTTTTTTTCTTTTTGCGTTTTGATCTTCGCGTTAAATTTTGCGCCAAAAGTCGAGTGTGTTGCGGCCGGTTCCGGTGTCGCCTCTCCCGACTGGTGGTACCTGGCCCGTCTGCAATTCACTCAAGAGTCGGGACTTTGATGCTTTGCCTCTCCCCGAGCAGCCTGTACATGAATGGACCTTGGTCTTATATGTTCTCTGATCTTTGACTTCTTCTATTTATTTGTTGTTCTGACAGTTGGCCAAGCCTCAAGTCATTTAAGAAGAAGAAGAAGAAGAAGAATTACCGGATCTTCTCGCAATGTTATATAGTTGCTTCTTTTCTGTATATATTATAAGTATATTTTAGTTTGTGCTCACATTTATCAAACTCAATTCCATAAAAATATATCATTCTAAAAGTATATGTTAGGAAAATATTTCTTTTTTTTATTTCAATAGAAAGAAGCATAATTTTTTTAAGGTTATGTTAGACGACCTTGAAATTTTTTCATTGCACTCTCCCATATATAAAAATTCGTGGATGTGCAACATAACCTTAAGGTCTTTTGCTTGCTTCTACATGTAAATGTTCTCCGTAGGTTTTCTCGCAAAATACTTGACAGATTGAACTAAAATTTTATGGAAAACTCAAAAATAGTATATAAGTATTCGTTGTCATGTGCCAGAGTATATTAATATTTGAAGAAATAATTTTTTTTTAATTATATACTTGAGGAAAATTTTAAATGTCGGCAATACGTTTTTAGTCATTTTTCCACGCATAGAAAAAGTTTACTGTGGTAGCGAATTATTTGCTGTCACAACAAATTATGTTAGCTAATATAGGGACAGCGAACAAATTTGCTGTGGGGTCAAAAAAATTTGCTGTGACAATAAATTTTTAAAAATTAAGACTGATATTGTTTATCATAATAAACTTTTTTTGTTGTTATAGCAAAAAATTTAGCTGTGGTTACTAATTTTGATAGATCCGATAGCAAATATTGTGTTTTTTTTTACTACTTTACAAAATTTTAGCAAATCGATCAATTTTCACATTTTCAATAATGAAAAAATAAATTTCCACCATAAAAAAACATTTTTTTTTTTTTGTTTCAAAAAACATTTTCTCTTACTTCTCACCTGCCATGTTTAATTTTACCACAAAACTCATCATTTTTTCTATTTTTGTACTCTTTTTTTTTTTTAATTCTTCTCCATTATAATTAAATAGTCATAAATTTGTCCCGCGAATATGTGTGGGATCGAAAAATGTCACTTAAACAATGACTGATAATAATTAACACCCATAGTTAGTTAAAAGTCCTCGTATTAATCCATGAAGTTTTATCACTTGTCACGACAACCAATATAAGTAAGTCACGGCAAAATGACGCATTCTATTCTTGCCGAGTATAGTATTTAATAAATTTGCACGTTTTTTTTATTTTTTTTTTTTCTGCATGTAGACTTTTGTCATAGAATATTGGACTTCCACATATGACCCCTGGAGTTTTATATGTTACTTTTTACATTCACATGAAAAAAAACTGTCTTTTAGTGCAACATAATTCTGACGAAAAGTTGTAAAAAAAACAAGCTTACAGTTATATTGATGTATATAAACAACAAATTGAAAACATTTTTATAGTTTTAATTTACTTTTTTATTTTCATTGATTCACACATACACATAAGATATAATACGCATGTAAATATATATATTATATAAAAAAAAACGGTAGTTGCGAATAAAAATTATTTCCTGTTCATTAAAGAAACTTAATAAATTATTCAGTAAAAATTGTTGAAGTAACCGAAGGCTTTATTTTATATTGCGAAATATGTTAATTATATGGATACAAATGTACATTTAAAAAAGTATTTTCAGATACTTTTCTTTTTTCTTTTTCTTTTTTTAATAAGTCAAGGTTTCAGTTACCGAATTCAAATTTTAACATTCATATTTATAAGTGGTGTGGCTATAAATATATACATAATAATATACAGAAAGAAGTTTTGAAGTTTTTAAATGAAAACAAGTTTTGTTTATCGAAAATTGAAATGTGAGGAAAAATATTTATTTTTGTAAATAACTTATTATGCAATCCTATATATATATATATATATATATTTAAAATTAAGCTATATATCAATTGAAACAACTGCTTTAAAGAGAATACAATTGCTTGGAACTATCGTTAATTGAAACTACAATCAACTGAAGGTATAATTAATTTAAAGTATTTTTAGTTGTATTGAAACTTTTAGAAAATTGAAACTATATTTATACCATAGTTGAAAAAAAAATATTAATTATAAAACTATATTTTTAGTTTGAAATAAATATTGCAAAATTAAAAGAAATATTATTATTATTAAATATATATCTGTTTTTGAAAATATATTCAAATATTGTTTACACGAATTTATTTATTGTCATTTTACAGAATTGATAAAAAAAATTGATATAAACGAAAAATTCTTTGGTGTATAAATTTTTTAAAAATTACTACAGCAATGGAAAATAAAAAAGTATACATTAAATTATTAATTTATTTTTGGATATGCAGAAACGTCGGTGAAATTCACAACGTTTATGATCAACGATTGAGAAGCAAAAATATTTTTCTATGCAAATTATTATTATTTTTGATCTACAAAAATGTTTTGCAAATGTTTCTTGATTAATAAGTTTTTTGAAAAAAAAAATTTTAGGCAAAAAATAAATTATTATTAGTTGAGTGGAAAATATTTTTTTTTTTTTTCAATCGTTGATCATAAACGTTGTGAATTTCGCCCACGTAATTTTAATTAAAAATTTTCATATAAGTTCTGATATATTCTAAAAAAAAGTTATAGTTCTTCAAACTTTATTACGAAATTATTTACTTTTTAAAGACTCGACAATTTTAAAAAATATGTATATTGTTGAACAGTTTAAATTTTTAATTCAAAAATGTTATTTTTTTTAATATATAAAAATGTAAATATTTTCTTATGTCGCGGTATTATTAAATTTATTATGGTATTTATTTAAAAAAACAAAATATTTAAAAATATAAACTTTTTGAAATATGTTAAGGAAAAATAAATTTGATTTAAATAAAAAGAAAAATCAGGATTTTTATCAGCCCTGAATCTTACGTTAACGGAATTTTCATTAAATAGAATTTTTATTTAACAAAAAAATTAGTTGAAATGTAAATTTGATTAATTTAAAAATTTGCGGGTTAAATTAAAATTTCAATGAAATGAAAATTCGTTGAAATAGAAATTATAATATATGTAAAATGAAAATTCTGTATGAGCCAAAAGTTTTGAACTTTCAAATGAACAAAATATTTTTTTCAATCTATAAATTATTAAAAATTATAATGTCAATATAAAATAAAACAGTAAATTTAAACTAATATTAAATTAATAACTTCTTTTTAGATATTTAAAATAATATTTTGTAATAAAATTCGTATTTAAAGAAGTTATAAAAAAAATGTTGTTCATTTGAACGTTCAAAACTTTTGGCTCATAATTCTGTTTTAATTAAAAATTTTTTAATAAACTGGAAAATATGTTATAATTTTGTTTTTTAAATTGTATAGGTTATATAAATAGAAAAATTGTAGTCGATTAACAAATTTATTTATTGATTTAAATGTGTGATAAAAATTAATATAATAAATAGTTTAATTACTCGTATAGTGTAATTATTTATAAAATGAATGAAAAGAAATCGAATTGAATATTGTGATTAATTGTGTGTGGATAAGATAATGGAATGCCTTGAAAAAAATAAAATATTTATATAATGTTCACACGTGTGAATCAACTGTATAATGTAGTCCTTGCTATAATTGGAGGACATGGAATGTTGAATTATTTCTTTGTGAAAGCATATATATATATATGCGAGGGCCATTCCTGTTCTATATCGATTAAATTTCATTAGAGTGTGCGTTGAGTAGATTGTAGAGTACTCATGATAAAAGGGATTGCTATAGAGCTTCAATGAAATTAGGACTATAATTCACTTCCCCTATATAGTAAATACTAGTGCACGATATTTTATTCGATATTTTCAAATTAGTCAAGTCTTTTTTTTCTCATTTTCTTTTTCAGCCCACGTGGCGTCTATGGGGCGAGGAAAAAGGAGATGATGTTATATACACTGTGTACCTGAAAAAAGTCCGATATCATAGACCTACTAGAAGTCTGTCAGCTTCGGTAAGATTATTGTCAATTATTTCAAAAATGTAAATCAATATTTTTTTATGTATTCAAAAAAAAAAAATTCCATTTTTAATTCTTTTTTCAACCAATTAATTTTACTAATTAAATTAATTTCGTTATATGATTTATAAATTATTTAAAATGTAAATTATATTATATTTTTTCTATATATAAAAAAAAAATTTATGTTTCAAGCTTTTTTTTAACTTTGCAACTTAAATAATTAAATTCGATAGGATTTGTAAATTATATTTTTTCTTTAATGAAATTTATTTTTTAAAGTGTTTTTTTTTAAACTAATTAACTCTGCAACTTAAATTAAATTTACTGTGTAATTAAAATTTTCTGTATTACTTAATTTATTTTTTCAAATTTGTAAACTTGCTTTGTCTTTTGTTTGAGACTAATTAACTTTTTAATACTTTTACATAAATTAAATTCTACGCATAATTATTATAAAGTTAAGTAATTTTATAAAATACAAATTTCACTGAAAAAGTTGTTGTAAAAAAAAAAATAAAAGTTAAATAAAAACGAAAAATTCTAATTTTCTTTTTTATTTCGAAAAAAGACTGAGTTTATTAAATGTGACTTTCTTTAATAAAAGTTTAATGAAAATTTTTACTTCGTCGTTTGATTATAATAATAGTTTCCGCATCAGAAAACTTTTTCACAGCATTATATAAAAGTTGCCTTTATTAACTTTTGTTTGTGAGCTTTATCAGTCCACTTGAAATGAAGCTCATCCTAAAATGCTTTTATTTTGACCTTAATTCAATCATTATAAGTTGACATCATATCAATAATATAATTGTCAACTTTCATTCAAATATAAAAATTTAGTCTCTGAAGTTCAAAAATGAATGAAATAATTTTTTTGGTCTATAAACTTTTTTTTTAATTACTACAGAAATTAACAATAAAAAAAATAGATATATTTAATATTTAATAAATTACTTTTTTTTTTGAATATAGAAAGCAATATTTTATAATAAACTTTTTATGTTAAAAATGTAGCAAAATTTTTTGTTCATTTGAACGTTCAAGAGGCACATAAGTTTTTATATATATCTTCTTTGTAAATAAAATAAGAATCCTCTAAAAAAAAAATTTAAGTGATTTAAATCGAAATAAAAAAAATTTTGTTTTTTGTCAATAAAAAATCGCTGACTCAAAAAAAAGTGTTCAAAATTAAAAGTTAGAAAATAATTAAATAGATAATAAATAAATGTAAAAAAAAAAAATTTTTTAATAATAAATTCAAGTGATAGTTACCTCGTTTTTTTCTCTATAAATTTTTTTTTATCACCCAGAGAAATGGAGATTAATTTTAATTTTTAATTTAACTCGCACTAAGATTGTGTTTAATTTTTCTTTTCTTTTTGCACAGGATTCAGATGATGAAATTTCTCATCTCGAATGGGAAACGGTGAGGGTGAGATTCCTAAAGGCCGGCACAGTTCAGAGATTAGTTGAGAGTTTGGCTAACGATGATGGAGAACTTGAGTCGACGTATATCAATGTTTTTCTTGCGACATATCGAGCGTTCACAACTCCACAAGAGGTTTTGGAGCTTCTACTTGTCAGATACGATTCCCTCGATGAAAATTCTGGAGCACTCACTGGCGAGCAACATCGAAAAACTTTGGTTCAAGCACTTCATGTATGGTTGGACGCGTATCCTGGCGATTGGTGTACACCACCAAATCATCCACTTCTCATGAGACTTTTAGATTTTACGCATCGTCGATTGCCCGCCTCGGAACTTGAACTTAAAGCAAGGCATCGTCTTCATCGTTTTTCTCAACCAAATGGCCAAATAGGTATATATATATATATTTTTTTAATTATACCTATGTCATTTAATTTATTTTAAATTTCACAAATTTCCGAATTTATGGTTTCTTTTTCTAAAAGACTATGTTTTAATAAACAATTTTATTTTTATTTATTTAGAGTGTTGGGATAGAATTTTTTGTTAGATGAATTTTCATTTTTTCGAATTAGTATTTGACCGAATTTTCTAATTAAATTTTTTTTGAACTGGAATTCTCATTTAACAAACTTTATACTTTGCCGAATTTTTAAATTGTATAGAATTTATTTTTCACCGAATCTTCATTTGTCAAAATTTATATTTTCACAAATTGACATTTGACAGAATTCTGTGAAGGAAAAATTTTTATTTGACAGAACAATTTATTCGAACAAATAATTGACATTAAAATAATTATTTTCTTCCTAATTTTTAATTGGTTTAATTTTAAAATTAGTTTTGAAATTTTTCTGTCTAATGTTTATTTGGATAAATGAAAGTTGTGTTGAAAATTCGTCGTTTTAATAATTCTATCAATATTTGTCCAAATAAAAGTTCATTCTATTAAATGAAAAATCTGCGAACTAAAAAAATTTTTACAAAACAAAAGTTTGGTTAAGTAGAAATTCTGTTGTTAAATGTAGGAAACTAGTGAAAAATAAAAATTTTTCGTTAAAAAAATTTGGTTTAATAAAAATTCAATTTAATTAATCTACACTGAAAAAATTTATTTTTATTTTAATAATCGATTAAACTTTTTTTTTATCCGATAAACATTTATTTTTATCAAATATAACTATTATTTCAGTCAATATGTTATATATTATTTTTACTTCAACTATACAGGAATTATAGGTTCAAATTGAGTTTATTTGATTGAAATGAAAATTATATTTCGTTGAAGTAAATTTTTGATTTTTATAATAGTCAATTAATCGATTATTTGAGGTAAATAAAAAAAAATGTAATAGCGAGAAAGTTTATTACTTATCAGATAGTACAAAAAAACTTTCTAGGATGTACTAGATTTAAACTAATAATTAATTATTTTAATAGCAATCGATTGTTGTTTTTTTTTTCTTTATAATTTTCTAATTGAAACATATTATATGGAGAGTTTATTATACCAGTATAATAAAATATAAAGTGCGTCTGACGATGTAAACTTTCCATTTTGCTTTTTATTTGTTATGTACATATATATGTATAATATAGCATTCGATCATTATTCTACAATAATTAGTTGATTGTGTGTACATATAAAAAATTTTATTTATTTACTTTATTTTTTTCTTTATCTTTTGTACTTGAACCAATTATCTCATTTGAGTAAATTTCATGAGTGTAAAATTTGTCATCAATTTTTTTTAAATAATAATATTATAATAGAAATAAAAATTATAAATTTTATTATTATTTTTATTACTACACTGAACAAAAAATTTATTTGATTCTTTAAACAATCGGTTACTTGATTATTATCAAATAAATATTTATTTGTATATCAAATAATTTGAGTCAATTAAATGGTATTTGTTTGAAACACAAAAATTATTGATTCAAATACAATTTATTTAATTCAAATAAAAATTATTTGGTTCAAGTAAATATTTATTTGATAATAGTCAAGTAATCAAGTATTTGAATTAAATAAATTTTTTTTCAGTGTATTGTTATTATGTTTAAATTATTAAGTAAATAATTGTTGATTGTAGTACTTTGAAGAAACATTTAAGTTTTCAATATAGGGGGAAAAAAAAATTTGCAAATATTTTCAATATAAATAAACATTAATAACTAATAATGAGGGCAGTGTGTTTCGTTTCACTTAGTATATTTGTCCTACATTTAAGTCAACATCCACGCACAATCAACATCTATGACACACTCGTCCGACTGTAGACTTAGTTTCAGGAAGAATTGTGTCAGCAAAGATCAAGAATTTGCTCTTGACAGTAAATTGTCTGAGGTATTTGTAGTTTCCTTCAGCAAACTTAGATCAACTTGAAACTTTAAAAAAAAAAAAATAATGATTTCCAGAAAAAAAGTAACTTTAATATATATATAAATTGAATAATATGAAATCTGACGTTTAATTTTGAAATTATTTTTTTAAGAAGAAAAATTTAAAAAAAATAATAAAATATATAATAAAATAAATCAAATTAAATATGTCAAAAATGTATGCAACTTATCAATTTATTTAACTTTAAATAATAAAAATATAATATAATATAAAAATGTTAAAAAAAACTACTTTAGTTGTGAATGGTTTACAATTAAGGCTTTAGGAAAAAAGTTTTTGAAAAAATTATTTTTCATAATTTTGAGATAATTTCTTGTCTTTTGAATCTTGGGTATATATAATTACTTTTAGTAAATATCTGATGTAGTAAAAAATAATCATTGTTGATTTGTTGATTCACTTGACTATTGCGATATAATGTTACACATATTGTCAGTTTATCACAAAGACTCAGGGTGATTTTAAAAATAGGAGAAACAATAAAGATAATTATCGTCATTCCTTGAATCTCTGGATATTTATTTATAATATATATATATAATCTTTAGCAAAAAAGTTACGGAATACTATATACATAGTATTTTTAAAAAAGTTTATAATTAAATTAGTTTTATTCTAAAAAATATTCTTTTCGAAAAATTGTAAAAAAAAAAAAAAATTATAAATTAAATTTATTTATCTTTTTAGACTCGTGTCAACCATACGACAACAGTCGTTTGACCTCACATGGAACGACAGATGTGATAAGCGATCATTGGCCGACCTACATTTTTCCTGAGGTGCCCCATCGACATTTCGCTGAGCAATTGACGCGAATGGATGCCGAGGTGTTTAAAAAACTTATAGCACATCAATGTTTGGGTGCAGTGTGGTCGAGACGTGATCGTTCGCGAAGTCATGATGCTGCAACTGTTTTGGCAACTGTCAATCAATTTAATGCAGTCTCATTACGTGTAATTGCGACAATTCTACAAGACTTAACATTGAAACCACATGAGCGAGCAAGAATACTTGAAACATGGATTGACATTGCTCAGGAATTGAGAGTTGTAAAAAATTTCAGTAGTCTCAAAGCCATTGTCTCGGGACTTCAGAGTAATCCTGTTTATAGGTTGGAAAAATGTTGGCAATGTATGCCACGTGAAAAACATGAGGTATTCCGAGAACTCGAGAGGATATTCTCAGAGGAAAATAATGCATGGACACAACGAGAATTACTCATTAAGGAAGGAACAGCCAAATTCGCTGATACTGCTGGCAGAAGCGACAGGCATTTACAAAAGATATTTCAAAAACAAAATACTCACGCAGGAGTAAGTCATTTAATTTAATTTTTTCGAATTTCCAGTAGAGATCAAACTTTTATAAAATTAACAGTAAACCGAATTTTTACACAGGAATTTTATTTTAATTCCTAGAGTCATGGAAATATCAAGAAAATTTTATTGAAATCATGAAAATTTATTTTTAATCTTTATTTTATTTATTAATTAATCTAATTTACTTTTAACCAAATTTTTATTTAAATATCAAATATTTAAAAAAAAAATAATTATAAAATTAGGTATTATAAGAAAGAAACATTTTTTTTTCATGTTTTCATAAAATAATTTTTCTTTTTCAGAATATTAGTTATGGCACGATACCTTATTTAGGAACATTTTTGACTGATTTAACAATGATAGATACAGCGATTCCTGATACGATAGCGGGTGGACTTATAAATTTCGATAAAAGAAGAAAGGAATTTGAAGTGCTGGCGAGAATAAGACTTCTTCAAGGAGCAGCGAATGCATATAATTTTAATACAGATCCAATTTTCGATAAATGGTTTCATTCTATTGTTGTGCTTGACGATCGAGAAGCGTACAAACTTAGTTGTCAAATTGAAGTTCCACCGCCAGGAACAACTTTAAATAATCGAGTAAAAAAGAAACAGGTTTGTTCCAATTTTCAGATTTTTTTTAATATTATATTAAACAAATTTCATTTAAATTGTTGATTTGAGTTGAAAAACAGGCAAAAAATTCTTTTGAAAATTAATTTTCATTTAAATTAGATGAAATTTATTTGAATTATTTGTTTTATAAATTAAGAAAATAATAAAAATGAACAAAATTGTTTATTAACAGAGAAATTTGTAAAATATCAGATTAAAAAATATTTTAGTGTCTGGAATTTTTTGTGTTATATTATTATTAATGTTCTTTGAATTTTTATTTACTATTATTTATAGTTAACTGAATTTTAATTCATTTTTCTTTAATTGTTTCGTTTAATTTTTTTTTAGAATCATCAAGGTCATCGGAAAAATGATTCGATAGCATCAACCTCGAGTTCGAGTAGTTCTCAGTTCTATTGTGATCTTGATTCCTTGCCGAGTTCACCGCACAATTCATTGGATCGAAGAACATCGCCGTCACAAATGTCCAGCTCGTCTTCCAGTTCTTCTCTTCCATCGTTGGACGTGTCTCTTAGCTCAGGTGGTGGAGCATCATCGGGTCAGAATTCACGTTTAGCGCCTCAAATTGGAGTTACAACAAATGGTGGTGGTAGTCCCAGTCATCCTGGACTACCAAGTCCCAGTCATTCGCATAAAAGTTCACCAGATTTTTATATTATTAAAGTAACAATGGAGAGTGACAATGTCGAGACAGACGGTGTTGTTCTTTATAAATCAATAATGCTTTCAAACAATGAGAGAACTCCACAAGTTATTCGCAATGCAATGCTAAAATTGGGCATTGAGGGCAATCCGGATCAATATACATTGGCACAAGTATTACCAGATCGCGATATGGTACTACCAACATCGGCAAATGTTTATTATGCTGTTAATACGGCTCACAATTTAAATTTTATCTTACGATCGAGACGTGATGTTAATGACGGGACCACGGACAGTCCTAAAAGTAAAACGAATTGTCACAAACGATAATAATAAGTTGAGTATTATTGCATTTATATATGAAAAAAATTAGGCAATGCGCATTAACTCAACGAGAGACTGTACCAAATTTTCAAAATATCGTATATAAATTATGAAACTCTTTTTCTTTTGTTTTTGAACTGATTTTCAGTTTTTAATAGAAGAAAAACGCACATTTTGCCAAACATTTTTGATGCCTTTTACGAATCAAATCTTTAAATAGATTAAAGGTGATTCGTCGACTTTTTTCCATATCATGACATATCGATATTAGTATTGACGATGTAGTTGTTATATTTGTAAATCGAAACGCGTTTTACGATCTAGTGTTATATATATAACAAATCGAATTTTCTTGTATATTTATATTTTTTTAGTGCAATCAAGTCTCGATCAATTTTTTTTTTTCAAAATTTAGACTTGAACTTTTTTTTTGGAGTTTTTTTGACTCGAACTATTTCAAGTTTTAAATAGAACTTTACGAGTATTTCCAGTTTTATGACTTGGATTTTTCAAAATTTGTATAATTGAACTTTTCGAAGTTTTTATACATCAACTTTTTAAAGTTTCAAAAATGAAGTTTCCGAAGTTTCTAGAATGAAATTTTTTAAAGTTCTTTTTGAATTCTTCTAATTTTAGTTGAAAATTTTTTTTCAAGTTCTCTTGAATTGGATTTTTTCATTTTTTTAAATTTCATTGTATTTTTACTTTGATGTTTAAAATTTGTAAATTTTCAAAATTCTTAAACTTGAATATTTCGTTCATTAGAACTTGAAACTTTCTGAAATTCTTGGATCTAAAATTTATCAACTTTAAAGACATCTGTGCTCTGTGTGTGAGAAATGAATCAAAGAATGATTGTGAAAATAGAATGATATAGAATTCAACGATTGTAATTATAATATCAATGATTTGTTTTAGTTATATTAATTAATTCACATGAACAATTGTGTATATGAGAGAATATTTATATTGCGCAATTAACATAGAATATTATTTTTATTATAATGCAAAAAAAAAAGATTTTTAAAATTTACAGAAAGATTAGTAAATACTTTTACTCATTGAAATATCAATTAAAATTAATTATTATATAATTTGTAAATACAATGCAAATTAATTAATTTCGTAATAATAATGTAATAACTAATTAATTTAGTACTAAATTATTTATTTATTATTACTTTTATTATGTGAATTATATTTTAACTACTACAAGAATTTCAATGATTAAACATTTTTTTTTTTTATTAGTTTTTACAAAATTTGAAATTTTGGAAAATTGATAAAAGTATTTAAAGAATAATATTCTTTAACTCAAAATTATGGTGTTTAGTATGTGTTTGTTATATTTATCAGAAGCTTAGTAAAATTTACAAATCAATTGATTTACTAAACTTTTTTAATAATAAAACGTATTATCTGTTATTGATCTTTCTGTAAATTTTATCAAAAAAATTTTTGCGCGCAGGATCGAAAACTTGTAAATATGAATCATCCATATAGGGCGTGTGTTGATTGAGAAAACTGAAGGAAAAAGATTATATTCTGATTGTGTCTCGTCAAAACTAAATCGAATGCTTTATCAAATCACACATGCAAAATTTTTTTTTTATTTTTCTTTATTTTTATAAAAGAAAATTTTATTATTATCAATCAATTTATTTTTTGTTTGAAATTTTTTGTTATATTTTAAGTTGTTTTTTGTTTCTTAAAATTTCTATTTGTTTTTATGTTTATTATATTTTTATTTATTATTTATTTTATTTGAATTTTTTATTCTTTAAATTTTTGTTTTTCTTATTATTAATACTTTTCATTTATATTACTTCTATTTATCATAATATATATTTGTAATTTATTTAGGTATGTTTCAAGTATTTTTATTTATTTTTGTTTATCTCTTCTGATCAGTTTTCTCGAGTGTCACACCAATTTTTTGTTAATAAGTTCTATTTTCGTTGTAATATAACGCTCCATTTATCCGGCGAAAAAGATAAGAAAAAAAAAAAAATTTTCTGTGATACTGAAATCGCTCTTTTTGGCCGCGTGATAGAATCTCATACGAGAAAGAATACTCAAATACCTGATCGGCTTTACGTAGAAGTTTGAAAAAAAAACCATATACATATTATATGCCTCTGGGCACCGTTTAGCGAGTTTAGATACCGAGAGTCAATTTATATATATATACCATTTTTAATCGAGACCAATTTTTCTTGGACTCAGATTATTATCCAAAGTGTATTATACAACCAGACTATGAAATTATCAAGATCAGAGCGAAAGAAAAATGTAAGAGAATAATTATTTTTGCTTCGGTCTATTCAACTCGGAAAAGTCTGGATTCAGAGAAAAAGTGTTAGTCTTAGGCAATTTTGTACTTACCTTCATCAATCATTGTATCTCACTAATTTACTCAGTATGTACACAACTTTTTTTTCCATTTAACAAGATCAATCAAGTGACCAAGAATTTGTCTTTATTTCATATCCTTGAATTTTCTTGTATTTTTCAATTTTAATTGTAATATTCGTCGTTTATTTTCGTAGAAAGAATTTTTTTATTGTGATTTTAGTTTTCAATTTTATAATAATGTTGATTAAAAAGAAATGCAAACGTTTGTCAAATTTAAATTTTCTAATTTGAAATTAAATTTTTTTTTCAATTCAGGAAGTAATTTAATTTAAATTAATTTCCATATTTTTAAATATAATTTTGCAGTAAATTAGGAAATTTAAATTAGTTTGTAAAAATTTTTAAAATATTGGTCGAGTGTTTTAAAAAAAAAACGCAAAAAACTGTGATTTGAAATTTAGAAAATAGGAGAAAAATGTTTTTTTTCACGTTTGAAAAGCATCTTTCTCTCCACACATGGATTGCGGTTATAAGCCAATTGAGATTAATTAAAAAACAAAAAGACTTAAAGTTTAAACGAACGGAGATTATCAAATTGGTTTGTGTTGGTGTAACGACTCTATACCCACTTGATGAGTGGACTTCCGGAACAGCAGCACTTCCGGCACGCGAACCTGTTGAGCTAGAATCGAATATGTGTACCTAGAGCACTTCAGGTGCACTGGTTTACGTCCTGGATCTATATACTAACGAGATCGAATCCACTGGACGAGAGCCATTAATGACTAAACCATATCAGTTAACGAAATGAAGCAGGCGGTTATTTCTGTTTAAGATAGTGTGCTATAAAGATACATTAAGTGCTCGGAAAAATTTTATTAAATAAAAAAAAGTGAGAAAATATTATGAGAGGTCAGTAAAAAAGTCAAATTTTTCAAAATAGAGTAAACTTTTTTTTTAATTTATAATTTAAAAAAAATTTTAAACTCTAAATTATAAAAAATTTGATTTTATTATTTTTTTCTAAACTATAATTTATATATTCTTATTATTATCATTAATATAATTAACATTAAAAATATTAATAACACTGTTTAAAAAACATACTGTAATAGTAATTTAATTTGTATTATATTTTTTATTTATTATTTAATATTATTTAACATTTTTTCTCACGTTTCTTTCGTCATATGTTTTAAAATAACGTGTCTTTGTAATTTACTAAAATTATTTTTTAATATTGTTATAATATCTTATGGGAACAAGATACAAAAATTAATATTTACTGAAAAATTCAAATTTCGCGCCGAAATATTGTGTGAAATGAAAGTGGAAAATTTGTCATTTATAATATAAATTATTATATTTATTAATTTTTAGGGGTAGGGGTAAATAATGATATATATAATCTTTAAAAAATATATATGAAAAAGGAAGTCATGAGAAAAATGTATCGCAAAAGAAAGTTTTGAGGTTATGTAAGGAGCGTTGGGAGGGGGAAGCATTCGCATTGAAGCCATTGAAGCAAGCGGAAGAAACGCAGCCGGCGAAAAGTTGCGTGTCCTGTGACTGAAGAGCCTGAAGAGCTTGACAAGTTTTGCAAATGTGTAAAAAAAAGTGATTATCGCAATGAAAAAACGAGAGAGATGTTGCATAGAGAAGAAAAAACGAGAAAAAGGTAAGAAAAAAATGTCATTTTGTGTAGAAAAAGTGTCTCAATCTCATAACAATGAAATTGGATGATTTTTCTTTTATTTCGAATTAGTCGAATTTTATACTCTATGAACAAAATTTTGTCAAGTTATTAGTAAAGGATTTTTTTTCTTATTAAAAAATAAAATTAATAATTGAAATTTATTAAAAATTAATTTTTACAATTTTATTGAAACATGTTGCTCTGCGACTTGAAGTTGGTTCCTATTCGTGTCGAATACATAAAATTTACATTTTTCGATCCTCGCCCCTTCCTAAGTTTGTTGATCGTTATAAACATGAATAATTGCAGTTTTTCGTCATAAAATTAATATTTCAAAGTAATTAAATATTTAGTAAAAGTTTAATGACGCGAAGGTCATGAATTTGTTTATTATGAAGAATATGTCAGGAGTACCAACTTTGGAAGTCAGTAAACAAACAGAGTGTAGGGATTGTTATTAATTTGATAATTTGGTACTCCTGCTTGAACTGAAGAAGACAACTTTGGAATCGGGATTAGTGAAGAATAAAAATTATTTCTTGAAATTCAGTCAGAATTGATTAAACATTTTTTAACAAAGTTTATAAAAAAAATAACGATTCTATGCAATGTGTTTTTATCATTATTATGTTTATGCATTTTAACATTATTCTATGACATTAAGATAATCGGATGGAGGTCGTCGTCATCAAAATGTGGATGAGAGAAAAGTCGAGTGTCGAATTTGTTGATTGTCCTGCGAATTTGTTTTTTTTTTTTAAACACGTTTGTATGTGACTATAATGAAAATACAATGAAAAACGGATTGAGAGAATGGAGATGAAAAACGGAACGAAAGTGATAAGAATAAGAAGGCTGAGAGGTAAATAAATTTTATATATTTTTTAAATCTCAACACGAAAATAGGTTATGTTTACTCTAAAATTTCGGATTAACATTATTTATTGTTCATCAACAAAAATCGGGCTTTTCATTTATGAAAATTTTTCTAATTTTATTGATGAAATTCAGTTAAATTATTATAAAAAATATTAAAATATTGTCAAAAATATTTCAAATAAACTTTTTGGATTTTTTCTGAAACGTTTCCTTTTACCAGTTTCAAGTTTAGACGAGATTGAATTGTTGAATTTTTTTTTTTTAAATATATATTTTATTATGTCATCACATAACAAAAAGTTAATCTTGTAAAGGTTATCAAAATACGGGGAGAAATTTCCATCAGTCAAATCCTGGAGTTAAATTTCAAACCGATTCATGTGAGATATGTGAGTCATTCGCTAAAAGTACAATCATCAATGGCAGAAATCAAGAGAGACAGGATGAAGAGGAAAAGAAAAAAGGATAATAAGGTAAGCAAAATAAATATATTTTCACTTTTAATGAATCTTATTTAAAGGAAAATAGGTTATGTTTATTTATTTACTATTTATTTGCAAAGATTTTTTTTTTTATTTTATTAAATCCCCATATAATTATTCGAGAGGATTTGAGATCCTGTTAAAAAATGGAGAAAAAAGTTATTGCTTTTGGTTTTATCTTAATTTGTCTATAAGATAGGGATCGTTGAAATAAAACGGATGCAATGAAAATATATGAATATTTATAAAGAATACTTTTAAGATAAACAACTGAAGAGAATTAATGGTAGTTATATAAATATAGAGAACAATCATTGCAAGTTGTTGTTGAACTCTTGAGGTGTTTATTTATAGGTTAAAATTGATTTACGAGCACTTTTACATATTCATAGAGGATAATTCTCGCTTTAGTGCTTCTTCCGTTATTGTTAGGAATTTAAAGTAAAATAGTAATTTAAAATTCATGTATTATATGAATTTTTAAAATAAGATAACAAAATTTTAATTAGAAATTATAATCTGAATATAATTTTCAAAAATTATAATTATTAATAATTAAATTTAAAACATTCGGAACTTTTGCAAAAGTTTAGGTCGCTTGAAAAATATTATTCTCGCAGTTGTATAATGAAAACAGTTGTTTAACTTAACTTTTAAAAAATTATAGAAAATATTATTTATACCTATTTTTGATATATTCACATGACTGTATAAGATTTGAAAAATCAGCTGTCAATTTTAAGAGAAAAAGTTTTTATATTTATTGAATTAAAATGAAAAAAGTTGAAAAATTTTAGTTATTCTGAACTAATGACAAAAATTTTCTTTTTATACTTTTAAAACTACTTTTTCCAAAAATTATTTTCTACTGACTAAAAAAATTACAATTTTTCTTTTTTTTTGCTGCCTACATTTCATATTCTTCATTTTCAAAAATGGAACATAGGCAAAGTATTATAATTTTTTTAATAATTCAGAAACGACTTTGGTCGAAATATAGATTATATAAAATAAAAATAGTAGTAAAATCCATTTCTAGTCAGACAAAACTTTTTAAATTCTTGTAATTTTAGTAGAAGAAAAGTGCATTTCTAAAAATACTGTAAAAACAAAAGGAAACAGAGAACATTCAAATTTTTAAAAAATTTTATTAAATATAATTATTTTTTAGATGATTTATTATTATTTGAATTAACATTTTATAGAATTTATTTCTAAACCAATTTTTAGTTAATCGATTTTTTAGGTACCGAATTTTCGTTTGTCAGAATTTCGGTTTTACTGGCATTTCTCTTTAACCAATTTTTTATTTAAAAGAATTCTAATTTACCCGAAATTTAATTTTGCAAAATTATCAGTTAGCAAAATTTTATAGGATTCAAATTTTTAAATTCCAGAATTTCCAATTCATCAAATCTTCATTTTACTGAATTTTTTATTTGCACAAATTCTTATTTAATATAGAATTTTTGAAACGTCGAATTTTCATTTTTCGAAATTGTAAATAACCGAAAAAATAATCAATAAAAAGATTTCAGAGCAATTTTTGAAATTAACCAAGCAGAAATCATCAAAAAAAAAACGTACACGGAAAGAAATTTTCTGTAGAATTTACAGAAACTCCTGCGTCATCTACTGATGTTTCTCCAAATAGAGAAATTTGTAGAATCATTGGCATTAAAATCTGTTAATTCTACAAGTTTGAGCTACAGTTCTTAAAAACTGTTGAGTGACCAAATTATGTATACTATATGGGGATAATATATATTTGGTAGAGTATTTCTTATAGGTTATATATTCTCCTCCGAATACATTAAATTCGCGGAACATTATTGTATAAATTAGTATAACTTCTATGTAAATAAATTCATCCTTCAATAATTTTCTAACAAAAAAAATGAGGAGCAAGTTTTCAAAACTTATGATAAATCCACTTTTTCTTATGTCGAGAAATTGAAACAAACGACTTTTCTCACTTAATCACTGCAGTTAATTTTACGATAAAAAATTTGTAATAATTTATTTCTATAATAATGTTTATATACTTAAGACGTTTCCTTTTTAATTAAACTTTCTTGCCGACACTATGATAATAATAAAAACACTAAATTCGCCTTAACCTCTCGCACTCAATCGTACTCAGCCTTAGTCGAATCACTGCATTGTTTTTGCGCATGCGTTAAATCCTTACAGAAAATATCTGTAGAATTAACAGATTTAGGAACATGTAAAATCTTCAAATCGATGTTAAAGAATTACCAGAAAATTTTTTTCCGTGTAATTGCGGTCAATTTTAAAAAATCGCGCCAAAATGTCGATTATTGTTTGTTCGGCCATTTACAATTTCGGGCAAATGGAAATTCGACGTTTTAAGAGTTCTATTAAATAAGAATTCGTGCGAATAAGAATTCAGACAAATGAAGTTTCGGTGAATTGAAAATTCTGACGTTTAAAAATACGAATCCAGGGTGGCCACCGATCGGGAGAATCGTGAATTAGCCTGCAATTTTGTATACCGGGAAAAAGCCGGGAAATAGCCGGGATTTTTAATAAAAACCAGGAATTTTAATTAAATTTGCATTAAAACTAATATATTCTATTAAATTTGTTGAAAAGAAATTTGAAAAAATTTCAAATCAAGTCAATTTTCAAGTTAGTCCGTGACGCTCATTCACGTTATGTTAAAGCTTTAAAAGATAAAAACAAAATAAAAACTCAAGAAAATGAACTCTCTAAATCTGAATCAGTGAAATTTCACTGAAAATCAGTTAAAACTTACTGAAATATCAGTCATTTTTCACTGATTGTCAAATTAAAAAATTACTGAAATTTTCTGTCACGCATATTGAAAATTTCAGTTATTTTTTAACGGGACAATCAGTGAAAAATAATTGATATTTCAATAATTTTTAACTGATCTTCAGTGAAAATTCACTGATTAAAATCGCTAGAATAGACTTACTGATTCTCAGTCAAATTTCACTGATTTAGTTTTAGAGAGAACAAATAAATAAACGAAAAATTCAAACTCAAAAAATTAAAGAGCTTTCTATAAAAAAAACAGAAGTTACAAGAAGACACACGAAAGAAAATTGATACAATTAATGCAGAATTAAAAAATTTAATTTAGGATGATATTACTTCAGAAGAAAATTGATTAATTTTCGTTTTGAGATTATATTTAAGATTTAATGACTTCATTGTTACAAATTTATGTTGTTTGTAAAAAGGACGTATTATTTTTGTAGAAAATATTTTAGAGATCGTTATATAAAGTTGGATAAAACAGTTTTATTACATTTTTAAAGATTTAAAATCAGTATTTGAAATACCAAAAATCCCAATCAGCACAAAAACTTGCAGCAAATTTGCAACAAAATGTCCTCTTGTGGCAAGCTTACTGCAAGTTTGCAAAACTTAATACGATGCGCAGTTGTAAACGGAAACTCCTACGGCTGCGCAATAAATTTTTTAACCTTCAAAGCAGGGTGCCCTTTATGTATATCTAGTAACAAATTGTTTAAAAAAAAATTTTTTTTGGTATTATACAAGCTTGCAGCAAGCTTTTTGCAAGTTTGCTGCAAGCTTGCTTAACTGTCTTGCCACAAGAGGACATTTTGTTGCTTGCACCAAACTTGCTACATGTTTGCACTGCAATCTTGCATGGCAAGCTTCTTGCAAGTTTCCTGTAAGTTCTAAGCAAAAGCTCTCTGGGTCACAACCCCCCTTTTCGGGCTGGATTACCCGCCAGAAGCTTTTAAAGGTTAAAAGGAGTAAGTTACTTTTTGCAACCTTTATACCTGTAAAATGCAATATTTTCCTTACTTCTTTGTACACACAAAGAAGATTATAAGTTCTAAACATAATAGTTCCGTACCATACAGTATCATACCGTACCTAACCATACCGTACCGTACCTAACCATACAGTACAGTTCGTAACCGTACCGTACAGAATCATATCTAACCATACTGTACTGGAAAACCGGGAAATAGCCGGGAATTTTTTTCTTATGTTACAGTGGCCACACTGGATTGAATCACATAAAATTCTCGATTGAATACGAATTCTGCTAAATTAAAATTCAGTTAAATTTAAATACTTTTAAATAAAAAGTTGGGTAAAGAAAAATTTTGTTAAATAAAAATTCGATACCAAAAAAATTATGTTTAGTAAAAATTTATTAAATAAGAAATTCTGTTATATGCTAATTTGAAAAATGAAAATTCGTCTAAAAAATAATTATATCTAATAAAATTCTTTAGAATGAAAATTTTAACCATTGATTTTTATGGGAAATTTATGCATCCCAAAAAAAAGACTTCTTCATTAAAAAACAAAATTCTATAAAATTTTCTTTACGCGCATAGAAAAAATTTTGCTGTGGCAGCGAATTATTTGTTGCCACATTAAATTACGTTACACTGACAAAAATTTGCTTTGCATTAAGGGGTCTACCCACTTTAGACAGGATAAAAAAAGGCTATTTTCATATATATTTTTTTAAAGTTTATATTACAAATATTGATATGCGAGGTATTGCACATAATAAATACACTCTCGAAGTGCAAAAAAAAATGTTTTTGATTTTTTTCAATTAATTTTTTTATTTAAAAATACATGTTGAAAAATATGTTTAAAAAAAAATGTGGTGCGCGCTGTTGATGAAATTTTTGACACGGATGGTCTGAAACAAAAAATTCAAACGGTATTAGATTCAGCATGTTGATAGCTATTGCGCATATCATACGATTTTTTTTTTATGCAAAATTGACAAAATGGCGGCCATTTTACGAAAAAAATGTAAAAAAAACGTTGTTTTTTGACCGTTTAGGGCTTAAAAAAAATATTTAAAATCAAAATTTTTAAAATCCCTTGATATGCGCAAGAGCTATGGTCCCAATGAATATGTGGTAAAAATTTGGTAAGGATCGGTGGAGCCGTTTCCAAGATTTCATCAACAGCGCGGAAAAAAAATTTTTTGTGGGATT